ATTATAGTATTAAATAAGATTCCATATATGCTAAGGACGGTCCCTATTAATTTTTTTTCTTGAACTCAACACCGTTTAAAAGTTATTTTTACACTGTTTTTAAAAATGTAAAGAAAATAAAAACACATGAGGCGTGCACTTTTGGATTTGCAAACTATTGTGCTATCCCCATAACGCAGTCTCGCCATAGTCGTTTGAATTTATCTCTAGTGTAAAACGACTGACATTTCTTACCAATCGGTTTCAATGAGGTCAGTGCCCTCTTCACAGACATTTTACTTTTTGAACTTTATATATGGCTTTGTTTTCTCCGTTCTAAAGCAGAACTTAAATGGAGGTGTTTACATTCAATTTCATTTTATCTGAAAGAAGTTTAAACAAACAATTCTAAAGGTAATATAAATCTTTTACCACCGCACATAAAACTAAATAAGCCAAATATAGATTATTCCTTCCTCCTTTGATCTTTTTAACACGTTCTTTTTTCTATTGTTCTATACGGGATTCGAACCTGCAGCCCTCAGCGCAACCAATGCTAAGACACTGCGTCTCGAAGCCATCAAATCTAAAAAGATCGTTTTACTCGTAATGACCTTTACTTTAGTCTAATGGGAGGACATGCATCCTCGTTTTAATTTTTAATCCAGGATAGTATCTATAGATTACAGCGTCCACGGCCACTTACATCACCTTCATCTGACGGTGGACTGTAAACTCTTTTGTAACCTTTGTATAAAAAAATTTGGAATTCGACGGCTTTCTACGGACTGAAAATAGATAGGACTGAAGATGACATCAGTGCTGTGCGGCGTATTATAGAGACTGACAAAAGAGTGACTAATCAATAGATTCGGACAAGCTTAGGCATCGGTATGAGTCCATTAACATTTAGCGGTCAGGAAGCTTAGTGCCCGGTGGATGCCTCATAATTTGACAGAGGCCCAAACACTCCGTCGTGTTCTGTCGTCTAAACACAGGCGTCCTCATTTTCTGTTTAGTTTATCTAGTTTGTAAATACAAAGTTTTACGAGGTTGCTTATGAAAACCTACGGAAATAAACCGAATGAAACTTCCAACAGTTGAAAATTCTTACTTCCATTTGAGAAAAAGTTAAATTTTCGCAATAGAATTCGAAATTTGAAAACTTACGTGACTGAAGCCGCTAGAAATCTTTTGAAAGAATTTCTTTCATTATAAAAGAGGGGTCGTATTTCTTTTTTAACACCTTTTTATATGAATGTACGAAAACGTAGATATGTGTGTTGGTTTATATGTACATAGGCTGCACTAAAAGTATCGGGAATGGAATATTTCCACTGTTCCTGTCATATTAAAATCTTTTTAATTGAAAAGTCCTTGGTTTTAAAAATCGAATACCATTTATTTATTTAAAAAAAGATTCTCGGTCTTGTGACAAGGTTTTGTCAAACTTGTTTAGTCGTTGAGAAAATGGAATTGACTCGAGAAAATTCAAGAGCGATGATTTATTATGACTTTCGAAGTGGTTTAACACAAAAACAGTGTGTTGACCGGATGATTTCTGCATTTGGTGATGAAGCCCCATCCAAAATCACAGTTTATCGCTGGTTTGCTGATTTTCAACGTGGACGTGTCAAGCTCAGTGATGATCCCCGTCAAGGTCGTCCAAAAACTGCAGTCACCCAAGAAAACGTTGATGCTGTGCGTAAGCTGATTGAGGAAGATCGACATGTGACATACCTCGAAATTCAGGCAACTTTAGACATTGGCATGAGTCAAATACAAATAATCTTGCATGAACAATTAGGTGTAAAAAAGTTGTTTTCCCGATGGATACCGCATTCGCTCTGTGAAGAGCAAAAAGCGGCTTGCGTTATCGCTCGTTTGGTGCGTCAGAACTCTCGAAGGATCCTCAAATGCTGTATACAACATCGTATCAGGTGACGAATCCTGGATATACGCGTACGAACCCGAAACAAAAAACCAGTCACGAGTTTGGGTGTTCGAAAATGAGTTAAAGCCAACAAAAATTGTTCGTTCACAGAGTGTTGCAAAAAAAATGGTGGCCACGTTTGTCTCCAAAACCGGCCATGTTACGAGTATTCCTCTTGAGGTACAAAGAACGGTTAATGCAGAATGTTATGCTAGCATTTGTTTGCCACAGGTCGTTTCTGAACTCCGTAAAGAGAACTGCAACCGCCGCATCATCCTCCATCACGACAATGCGAGTTCTCACACCGCACACAGAACAAAAGAGTTTTTAGAGCAAGAAAACATAGAATTATTAGACCATCCGCCGTACAGCCCCGACCTAAGCCCTAATGATTTCTATACTTTCCCTAAAATAAAGAATAAATTGCGTGGACTGAGATTTTCATCACCCGAAGAAGCTGTGGACGCCTACAAAACGGCCATTTTGGAGACCCCAACTTCCGAATTGAATGTTTGCTTCAATGATTGGTTCCATCGTATGAAAAAATGTGTCAAATTTGCGGAGAATACTTCGAAAAGCAATAAATACATTTTTAAAAATAGTAATGTTGTGTCACTTCCTTGATTCCCGAAATTTTCTGTACATGTAATAGAATTTTGTAATACGGTTTTCATCCACTTCAATGGATGAAGAAATTTTTTAAGAGAACAAGTGACCGTTTAGAGAGGAAGGTAGTTAGTAAACTCAATGTTTTATCCTTTCCTACGCGCATACAAAGAAAAATAAAAACAATAGAAATATTACGCAACGCCTTACATTTACATTTAAGGAAGCAGTTTCCTTCGCGTCGTCTGAAACACGTGCATTTTTATATCCGCCATTTGCATATCGCTCGTAAAAGGATGCGTTAGAGACCAACGCGCAACGCCATTTTGGATTCAAATGCGGTTTTAAAATCAAACTACATTTATGTTGAACTATGCGATTTTTGATGTAAAATACGTAAATATTTTATAAGCGGTAGAGCCACACATGTAATATGATGCTGTGTTTCGTATGGTGAGTGTAGAGAACCGCAGACCCTTTTACTGGAAAAGAAGCATTCCATCATAGTCCTCACGGCTGACAACGCATCTGCATTTTTAATCGCAAACGAGGATAGACGTAGATGTTTATGGGCCATAGCCACCACACAGCATCAGTACAAAAAAAATGGCTGCAGATCGAATCGTTTGCATAGGATACCATCGCAAAAGAGCCACGTAACTGTGGAGGTGTGACACCGCCAACATCCTGACTCCGGGCAGCTACTGAGAATTTCTTGATGGAAAAGCTGCATAACTGTTTTTGGCCCGACCCGGGATTCGAACCCGGGTCCTCACGTGCAGTAGTCGCACTATTACAATCACTAGACCAACGAGACAGTTTTTTTTTAAATTAAATTATAGTGACAAACGAAAGGTTACAGATGCGTTAACTCCTGTGAGGATGGGAGAATTTCTGAAGATGGAAGACTCACAGCCTGTGATACTTGCTCTCTATGCCTTTCAGATCTAAATACAGCAGTGCAAGCACTGCTATTGGACAGCTAGAAATAGATTAGAACGTGCACCAGTTCAAACAATTAAATTAAATCTATAAACATTCTATTTTTATTAATTCACTAGCTGTGGTCTGTGTGCTTACCATCAGGTGGACTGTGTGCTCGTTTGTCACCCTATCCTATATAAAAAAAAAGCTGGTATTCGGCGCGTTGCAACCGCAGAAGAAATAATTGCGGAAATATCGTTTTAAAATTTGGAACGATTATATTGTTTAATTCCGAATGACAATAAAATTTTCGGTACGACACGCACGCCACCTACTGTAAGTTAATTGTACTATGTCTGTAACCTTCGCGCAAGTACAAGCAGTTGACAATGTTTAAGTGCAATCTGATGAACGGTATGGCAGCGCATAAAATACGAACAAACAAACATTAATTTTTATAAATCAGATTTATTTACGATATATTGCCATATAAAGGAAATATATTTGCCATAGTTGCCACACTGGCAGGTGGTTTGGCGACCGTATTTTAATTATTATTTTGAGTTTATCAGGAAAATGCTGCTGCCCATTTCCTCTCATTTCCCTAAGCCGCTTCTTACGGTAAACACGAGATGATATGGGATAGCACATTCTCTTTTTTTGTTTATTAAATACATAACCATTTTTGCAAAACCAATAAATAAATTACAGCTGTAACAAGTAATTAAATTAAATTGTTTATCTGTATTGCGGCTTCATGAAAATATCCTTTGTTTTGTTGCGAATTAAAAAGTTCGAACAAACAACGCCAAATTAAAGGAGCAAACTTTAGCATTCATATTTTCATGGCGCTGTCTAAAGAAATTATATGACCAAATTAGACTCTATAATCAAAACTTTTTTGCGAATTAATTTAGAGAAATGAATATAAAACGGAGGGAATTTAATTCTATATACATTGTCTATTGTATTTGAAGTTAATAATTATCTGCAAGTATTTCTGCTTACTGAAAATTTCACAGAAAGCGTGCAACTCAGGTTCGAATCCCGACGACAGCAATGAAATTGCTTATTGCAATTTTAAGTGCTGAGTTGCCACGTTCTCGGCGATGAAGGAAAACACCGTGAGGAAACCAGCAAAGCTTAAAAATTTAAAAAAACTCTGAAAAAAAAACATCCTTACAGCTTAGTATAAGTCCACTGTTAAACATAGGATCATCATACATCCTGAGCCCCCTGCACCCATCGACTACCTGCATGATTCATCAGGTCTTCAATCCATCTAGTTGGAGGTCGCCCAACAATGCGCTTGTGCAGTTCAAGGCTGCCACTCAAAATCTTTTTTTTCGTAACAGCTGTCGGTTTTTTCTTTATATGACAATCATATTACCAGATATTATATTATTTAGTATCTGGGCTACGTTAGAATATTGCCACAAGAATGAATTACTGACTCTGTGGAGTCGAGAAACTGGTATCAGTAGCTTGTGATATATAAAAAAAATTACTGCCTACTTAAAGTATAGGATATTAAAATATGTTTTTCCTTTATTTACAGAGTTGAAGACGAAGCAGCCTCCCCTGTTACGAAAGTAAAGTAAGTATCACTTGGTACTAAATATTGTAGTACAAGTTGCGGCACGTAAGTCTAGCTCTGAACGAAACGTGGAGGAAACGCACACGAATTGAATTGCACGAAGAATTGATAGCCAATCAGCGCGTGCGAACGATACCCACGAGCCAATCTGCGCGATTTATGCGCAATAAGCCAATCAGCGCAACTTATGCGTAATAACGGTCACCGCTAGACTTTCGTGCCGTTACTTATACATACGAATAAGATTAGCGACCGTGATTTAATTGTCAGAGTACCTTTTTTATAGAAGAGGGGGCAAACGAGCATGCGGCTCACCTGATGGTAAGTGATTACCGCCGCCCATGAACAACAGCAACACCTGATGGTAAGTGGTTGCTGTGGCCCATAGACATCTACATCTATCCTCGTTTGCGAATCAAAATGCTGATGCGTTGTCATCCGTGAGGACTAGATGGAATGCCTCTTTTCCAGTAAATAGGGTCTCCGGTTCTCTACACTCACCATAGGAAACACAGCAGTGTTAAGTTGCTTGCTATTTGACGCTGGTATTCTGTAAAAGCGTGGTCCTTCCCCGGTCGAGTCGACCCATGCGTGCTGTAACTATACTACTAAAATAGCTGCAGCATGGCGCTATGACGTATAAATATCTATCAATTTATATATTTTTGTTGTGGTTTGTATTTAGTACCAGGAAAATAGAAGTCAGTCTATATTGACTTTCGGGAAAAATAATTCCCCGTTCTGCTTAGATCGGACTAAAAATTAATAATTAAAAGTTGAAGTTAGCCTTCGTTAACTATGACATCAGGACGTCAAATACCTCAGTCGTCCCCCTCCCCGTGTACATGGGTGCTGTAAAGTGCCCGAAACGTCGGGAATTAAAAAAATATATACGCGGTAGAGCCACGCTGCAGCACGAATTATGTAGCAAGAATGGGTCGGCTCGACCGGTGAAGAACCACGCTCTCACAGAATACTGGCGTAAAATAGCACGATAATGCTGCTGTATTTCGTATGGCGAGTGTAGTGAACCGAAGTACCCTGTTTACGAGGCATTCCATCTTTGTCCTCAGGGGTGAAAGACGTATCTGCATTTTGATTCTTAATCGAGGATATGTAGATATCTATTGACCGGAGCAACCACTTACCAACAGGTGGACTGTGTGCTCGTTGGTCACCCATGTTCTATAAGAAAAGTTAAAATTAAACGCGATGAAGTCCGTAAAATTCGTTTTATTCCATATGCTACGTACTCGTATTTTCTACACACGGGCGTAAAATAATACGGACGTTAAGTTACACTGAAAATGTATAAAGCACCCTAGGTCCCACATTTATGTTTGTCAAACGAGAGATACACACACAAAAATGACAATTCTACGCCAGGTCTACCCGAAGATATTTATGTATAAAGTAACTGTTCCCCGCGACTTCGCCCGCATGGAATTTATTACGATTAGATTTTATGGGTTTCAATTTTTGTTGCGCGAAACCCTAATACCTTTTCTAAAATAAAAGTAGCCTAAGTTACTCCTTATAATATTAGCTATTTGCCAGTGAAAGTCCCGTCAAAATCGGTCCAGCCGTTTCGGAGATTAGCCGGAACAAACAGACAGACAGACAGACAAAAATTTTAAAAATTGTTTTTGGTACTGACCGTATATACTTTCATATGCATTTAGTTCAAAGCTGTTATTTTGAGATTACAAACAGACACTTCAATTTTATTTATTTGGTATAGAATAGATAAAGTCAATCCGACGTTTTAAATGTTAATATCTTTGTCTCTAACACCTATTATCGGACCTTGATATATTTATATATATTGTAGGAGCTAGGGTACATTACACATGTTCAGTGTACGTCTGTATTTTTTTTATATACAGGTTTCTACAAACACATTTGCGAGCGCGTGGTATGTGTTGTACGCCTGGGTTAGATCAGATTATTATTAGTCTACATCTTAAGTCTACATCTAATCGAATTTAAGGACTATTTTAATTTGTCTTGACTGACGGAAGACTTAGAATGAGCTGCGGTGAGCTGCGAGTCAAAATATCACGTGATCTCTATTCTTTTAAAAATATATAGCCACACAAATTGATCGTGTATTTATTTATTTATTCTTTATTGTATTCCCCATTATAGATGAATACAAAAGGCGAATTTAATATCATGATACATTCTCTACCAGACGATCCATGGAGTGGTGAGAATTTGACATAGGTATGACAACATAGCGAAATAATTCAAATTAAAAGTTTTGTACAACCGACTTCAATATAAATTATTAAGGATAACTCAAAAATTACTGGTCAGACATTGATCAAATTTATATGGGACCACATGGAAAGCACCAGCTTACAAGTAAAAATATAATAATCGGAATCGGTTCACCAAGACAAAAGTTATAAGGTAACACACATAAAAAAACATGCAGTCTAATTGAATACTTGATCCTTTTGGAAGTCCTAATCTTCCTTTGGAAGAACCCTAGACTTATCGGCTTATAGAACACATAAAACATTGCAATTAGGTTGAAATTCACTCTGTCGCTAATCATCCGTAAGCATCGCACTTATAATGAAGTATCATTAATTTTAAATTGATTTTTCTTATTTGTTTACAGCGACAAAAACGGCCTCATCACGCCTCCCCAACAGAATGGCGGGGAGGATTCGCCCCCTCCTGAAAAGGAGAGGGCGGACCAAGAGGACACTGAGAAGAGCCACGCGGGTCCAGTGCCGCATTCCGCAGAGGGCCCCAATGACGACCTCTATGCTATTCCAGTCAAACTGAGGCCCAAGAAGGAACCGCAGCTGCCGCCTGGATGGGAGAAGCACGAGGGTGAGACACGGTCGCCTTTCTGTGTCATTTTTTATTTAAGTTTTCTTCAGAACAACAAACAATTGTGTAATAACACATAAAACAAAAAGGAAAGCAAGTAATTACACAACCGTTATCCACAAAGTAATATCAAAATAAGAGTAATATTATGTTGCACAGCAAACATGTAACATGTCACAAGTAGATGAATAATTCGAGATTTCCCTGAGCAATTCCCAGCCAACACAACCACTATGGTGGCTATGCTAGCCAAAACTTGCCTCTAGAAACAACAGTTACACCTATAATAATCTGTTTAAACTATGAGACAATACTTTACTTACTCGTAATAATACTTTTTTTTTTAATACACTTTTTAAACATTACAAGTGATAAAGCAAAAAATGTCAAGATCAGTAAAATTATCATTATATAATTTTATACGCTGTAATGGAGCTCGCTCTCCCGCGTAAACGTCATATTTATATAGGAGTTTATTCTCATCAGCTAAATGTCCACTAAACTTGGATATTTTTCTTTGTCTTATTTATTCTGTCTCTACGGTAAACCCGGTGATTATACCACTATCTGTCGGAGGCTCTGATTTTTCTGGCCCTACCTTAATCGTCATTTACATACCATAATATACTTATTTTCATTATTAAGTGGCGAAGCTTGCGAAGTCACTTATTGATTTCACGATGTCTGTCCGTCTGTCCGTCTGTCCGTCTGTCCGTCTGTCCCACGATTATCTCGAGAACGGTTTCGAATTTTCAAATTCTGTTTTCAGCAATCGATTAGTGATCACCCAGGCATCTGAACCTCCTATTTTGAAACTGATTGCTCAACGGCAACCGTTAGAAACTGCTACAAAGCTGATTGCTTCGCCACTTTGCTATGCTGTTAGCTTGCTAGGTTTATTAGATAATTATACTTCTTTTTATTCTTATTTATAATCTTTCTCGATGCGTTTAGTGTTTACTTTAAACGATTGTTACACTTAGCTACATAAGTTAGTACTTAAGCCATTTTGTTAAATACAGTGTAATCAAACACGTAAACCTAAATAAATAAAATAAAAATAAAAAATAAAAAAAATATCAAAGGGACGAAATGGGGTAGTGTATGTTATATATATATGTAATATATTCCATACATTCGATGTCTTTATTCCATTATATTCCAATATATTCCATTCAATACACCTATACCTATAAAAGTCCACTGCTGAACATAAATTATAATAGGTAGCCAGTTTTTTTTTAGAGTTTCTATCAGGAAGACGTCTCAGCATTAGAATCAGCATTAGAGTCGTTTACGAGAAATTAGAATTACACCATAAATATAAAAATTTCTACACAAAAATATTCTATTTTATGAAAAATTCTTTCAGACAATGACGGTCCTTACTACTGGCACATAAAGAGCGGCACGATCCAGCGTGAGATGCCCAAGATGCCGCCCGTTGAGGCCAAGGAGACCCGCATCTCTATGGTGCGGGACTGCTCCAATCTATCCGACGTTAAATACGACATGGCCACATCCGTCGTCCGGAGCACTACCAGCGGCGCGCTGGATCACGTCGACATGGAGGAGAGGAAGAGAAAGGAGGAGATCTCTTACAAGTGAGTTGGAAATTTTACGTTAGCCTAGTCTTAGGCACGTATTAACAAACGTTACTCAGCTCAAGTACACGCACTTGAGTACAATCTTGAGGTTATGATCTTATTAATAAACATATCTCAAGATGCGATTTAGGTCTACGATATCAGCTGAGTGCCACACTGATTAATAAAAGAAACTCGATTCTCAAGTTTGTACTTGAGTGGAAGTCACAGAACAGTATTTCTAAGTACAGCGTTTTGAGATACTGTTTTATGAGGTTATTAATTAGCGACGATGTTGAGATGCTGATATCGTAATGAGGGCGTATCAAATTTTTACACACTTGAGTTCGTCGAGAAACGTTTATTAATACGGGTTTTAAAGACGTATTATATATGTATATTTAAAGCTCACCACCCGCCTTGGCTTCACTTGGGTGGTATCTATTAAGGTGGCATTATTTAAATTTAAGATAATTATCAAAAACCATTTAATTTTTTGGTTTAAAAAAACTCCAGTTTTTCGAAAAAATATTGTCTAGATCCACATATCCAAAAAATTTTAAAATGGTCACACGTCTTAAAGGCATGCAAAGAAACCCTCATATCAAACTATAAAAAGCGGTTATTTCGATATATATACACTTCAATTTTATTTAAACAGGGTCATTTTGCAATAACCGGCCAAATTTGCGGATAAGGTTCAGAATAAGTAATATAGGCAAATGGTGAAGAAAAAACATTCTGTGCTTTTATCTTATAAATTCAAAATGCGTGGTAATGCATTATTTTAATCGATTGTCACTCATAAATATCTAATGCCATCTATTTTACTACGTACACACACACATTCGTAAGGGTCAATAAGTCGGCAAAAACGTTGTAAAGTGAATCGCACACAGAGGAGCGCGCGTAAGTAGCAGCACGAAAGTCTAGCGGTCGCGCTGATTGGCTTATTGCGTATAAGTCGCGCTGATTGGTTCGTGCGTATCGTTCGAACACGCTGATTGGCTCTCCAGCTGCATTCGTGCAATTCAATTCGTGCGCGTCTCCTCCACGTTTCGTTCAGCGCTAGACTTACGTGCCGCGATCTGTGCGCGTAGTTGTTTCCCATAAATCACATTCAATTTGAGATAATTTTAAATAAATGCAAAAACCTTTTTTACATTTTTAATTTTAATTTTATTAATTTTTGTCCCGATTAAAAAAAAGCGCAACATTACCTTTATTTTCTGGAAGTAAAGGTGAATGAAATCTCACGTTACCCACGAAAAGGGTATCTGATTCTCGTCACTCTATAAACGAAACACAGCTGTTGCATTATGCTGGCATATATGCTGCTGCATTACGCTGGTATTTTGAACGATCGTTGTCCTCTCCAGTCGAGCATCTTATGCTGCTGTGTTTCGTATGGTGAGTGTAGAGAACCGAAGACCCTTTTTACAAACGAGGCATTCCATCTTAGTTGTTAAGGGTGTCAACGCTTCTCAATTCATTCTTAATCGAGAATAAAGGCCATAGCATGCGCTTACCATCAGGTAGACTTTGTGCTCGTTTGTCACCCTAAAGTGTCTCCCACACAGAAGCGGGTTGCGGTGGCGGCCAGTTGTATATTATGCTTGCAATGTAAGTGAATTTGTAAACACGTGTGCGGGGCTTGCGGCCTGCCAGCAGCCCCCGCCCCCTCCGCCCCCTCCGCCCCCTCCGCCAACGCAAATTTTTACAACAGGCCGCGTGTACCGCGTGCAAAATGGCGCTAATTACAGAGATTTTAATAGAAACAGTGCAAAATTATCCAGTACTTTATGATACTTCACACCTTGATTAGAAAAGCATTAGGATTAAAAACAAAATATGGGATAATATTGATAAATATAATAAGAATAAAAATACATCGTCATGGTTAGCCATATTGACCGACGTCCGATCGTAGCACATGCACCACAGCGAATGGAGCTTCAGGCCGCCACTGCAACCGCGATGGTGTGCTGTTGCAGCGGCTGGAGCTGCGGCTCGCGGTCAGCCGCCACCGCAAGCCGCTTGTGTGTGGGAGACGCTTAATTCTATAAAAACTATCACATTTAAGTATTGCCCTATCTTCTGTCCCAGACGACGCAGCTTCCCAGCGCGCGGCGAGATAGACAACGGGCGCTCGGTTCGTTTCTTCGTTCGTTCCCTGGGCTGGGTGGAGATTGGCGAGGCCGAACTGACGCCGGAGCGCTCCAGTCGTGCGGTCAACAAGTGCATCGTGGACCTCAGCTTAGGCCGCAACGATCTGCTCGACCAGGTCGGCAGATGGGGAGACGTAAGTACATTCATCTAATTTACGGTACACCTTTCCTATTCGCCATTCGTTGTAAACAACAGTAAAAATGTTGTCTAGAAGAAATCGCTTACAAAGCGATAACGCCGTATACTGTACTGTTTTAATGTGTATTGGTGTAACATAAACGATATAGTTATTGATTGATTAACGTTACAGCATATTAAAGTCCACTGCTGAATATAGGCCTTCCACATACATTGCCTCACATTGGTGATATCTTCCAGAGTTGCCACGTTTGGCAAGCGTGTTGACAAACACAGTGTTTTATTCTTAGTCGTTGGTCGAAGACGCGGCTGCCCATCTTCTGATTTGTTTCCCTCTGTCGTCTCTTACGACACCCACGCGACGATATGGGGGATAATTGATTAATTGACTGTATATGCCGTGGGGTGGATGCAAAGCGAATCCATCACCACACTTACCCCCATAGAAATATGGGAAGTACCAGAAGGATGTTATTGGCTTCCGATTGGGGATCGTCTTGTTTACTCTAGATATATGTATATTCCCAGACCAGACAAAGAGCAACGTTAAAGCTGTAAGACCTTTGGTTCTACTAACGTCAATCTGCCTGCCGAATATAGTCACCATATTCGGCAGGCTGTTTATCCCATCTAAAATGGGAGCTGTAGCCCAGAAGCTCCCCGAGATAAACAGCCTGACGAATATGGTGACTATATTCGGCAGGCTGTTTATCCCCTTGACGAAAGCGGTCCATTAATATCAGAACTTTATAGGCTGATAGAGGAAACGAAAAGCTAAAATGGGAGCTGTAGCCCAGAAGTTGAGCTTCCGCCGTAAATTTTACAGCGCGCCAGCAATTCCTGGTTCGATCATTGCATTTCAAGTGCTGATTTACCGCATCCACCGCTTAGGTGACCGAACACACAGTAAGAAATTTTCGCTCCAACACGTAATGAACCTGCGAGGGAGACTAATCGTTTCATCGCCCTCTCAGAAATGAAAGGAAGCACAACCCAGGTGTTGACATATAGGCCGTATCCTGACTTTACTTCTAGAAACGAACTTAAAGCCCACTTGATGGTAAATAGCTGCCGCTGGCAGACCCTCCTCGGGGAGGATTTCTGCTCCCCCTTTTCCTTCTCAGGTAGGCACACCAGAAACACACACACTTCCTCCGCGGCCTCTAACTCCACCTGCGTAATGGACCCCCCACCCTGAGTCGGTACGCGTAGTCCATGGGGCCAGAAAAACGAGCACTCGGAAGCGCTAGCTTTCCCGACCCCAGCGACGAACTTGGTCTCTGGATCCGCCGCCAACCAAGGTTTAGCAGCGGAGGGTAAGGAGAGCGGAGCACATCCGAAGTGGGCTCGCCAAGCCCTCTCGGAGTTGCCTCTGAGTTGAGTCGGTTGCAGAGAAAGCTAAAGGATGTGTCGTCACTTCTGAGCAGTAAGACTAAGTCTCATAGCCTGTAATTATGCTCTACATACGTTTCAAACCCAACAAAGCACCTTTATAAGACCCCATGTCCACCAGTGGTCTGGTTATGAGTTGATGTAGAAAATATATAACTTTATTCCAGGGCAAAGATCTATTCATGGACTTGGACGACGGGGCACTGAAGTTAATTGACCCTGAGAGTCTTAACACACTACATACGCAGCCCATACACACGATACGCGTGTGGGGAGTTGGCAGAGACAACGGACGGTGAGACTATAGACACGTTTACATATTTATGGTCGTTTTCGGAATTATGCATTTTATATTTTTATATTTCTTTATTTATATTATATTGTTGAATAGTTCATCTGATTAATTATTTAGATCTGTGGAAGGCTATGTGGTGTTGCTACTATTTTTTTATTACAAACTTGTTATATACCAGTATTCTCGTTTATTTTGAATTGATATATTTCAGATTTTTTCTTTTTATATTTTTTAAATTTTAGAAATAAAATATATTTAATCACACATTTAAACGAAATAAAGGTATTTCAATGAATTTCAGAAAATACCTATTTATCTTTAATTCTAAAATAAAAGTATCGATTATTTTTAAATTATAATTTTACTACATTAATTTATTTAAATTGGTTGAACTATTCCACATATGTATACAAACGCTCGTGATGCGCGTCCAAAATCTTACTAAATTGTAACTTTTTTCTCATTTGCACTCTTGGGATAGTGAAAGGTATGAAGAATTCTGTAGCCCTTGTAGATATTAGATTACCTAGTTTTATTATAGCTCTCGACAAGCTTGACAATTGACTCCATTTCGCCGAATCTTTTGAATTGCATTATGATAAATAAATTTAAAAAAATATTTCGCATTTGTCAAATTTAAAAAAAAAACTTTTTATATTAGAATAAAACAATATTTTATAAACAAATAACTAATAAATATCAGTGCAAAATCGAATGAAAAGCAACATGACAATGAGGGCATCCACGACTTTTTCTGCCACCAGGGCGGCGCCACTAGAAAGTGAGGTATAATATTTCACGGATTTCATAGCGGGGAAGTTAATTTGTTCGGAAAATGTAAAAGTTACTGTTTATTTTTGTACTATTAGCTATATTTTATATTAATAACATTAAAAATAAATAAACCAAACCACGGATATTCATAAAAGTAGAGAAATTAAAAAAAAGTTAAAAATGTGCAAAAAGTTAAAGAACAAAACCACTGACGCATTGTTTTGTGTATTAATATAATACTCCAGAAACTGATAAACTTTTATTTAAAACTAACTTCCCAATTAAATGACATTGTGTAACAAAAAAAATTACCTCAGTGTTAACTAGCGACATCTGGTGAGCAGTAAAATTATTAGCCCTCATTGAATTATTAATCTATTGAAATTAAAACTAAATATTTTATTTGTACTAAAAATATATAAATTTCACTTAATTAGCAACAATAAAGTTTTTATAACCACATAATATATAAATTTCAATATTTTTGCTATTTTTAAATATGTATACATATTATTCTTAATTACTATTAAATTAATTATCAATATCTAGCTGTTCATTGCTTTCTTAAGTTTATTCGCTTCTAATATAATATTATGTCATCTTTATTTGTTTCTTTGCAAATATGCGTCCATTCTAATATTCATAGTACCTTCAGACTGAACTAGAGTGCGAAAGCTTTATACAAACGTCTCAAACGCAAGCTCAGGGTTCGCCTACAGTAGCACAGAGAAAACAACGCGATAGCACTATTATTTATTATGTGGCGATAGTTAATACCGCTGACGCGGATATTTTCTGTGTGTAGGTGAAACCCGCGCTTGTGTGCGTGCATTGCCGGTCGCTTGTATGAAACTGCCTTATATTCGTTCACTCTCCTCGGGCATGTATAGTGCCACCAACTTATCTGTTCAGTTGACAGAGTCGCTAGTGGAGTGCTTACTATTGCCATTTAAGAAATTTACCGAGGAAATAGGTGACTACATATTCATTACACATAATATAAAATAAAACAAATTTCGTGTTAATATATATATATATATATATATATATATATATATATATATATATATATATATATATATAATTTATATTTTATAAAAATAATTGTGGTCGTGGTCTCGGAGTTCAAGCGGTCGAACTCCAGGAATTCCTGTTTTGAAAGATGTACCCGCGTTAGATACTGGTTCCAATAATTCATCTTCTGAGTCACTGGAATCGGTTTCGCTATCGCTCTGACACTCTATAATAAAGGGTTCATCTAAATACGCGTCTTTTAGTCTGTATTCATTTTCAATTTTTTTCACATGATTGCATATGTTTTTCCACTGCACCGGTGTAATTTTATTAAATGCATCTTCAATTAATTGGGGCATTAGAACATTAGATTTTCCAACATTTTTGTCTGCTATGTTCCTTTTCATAGAGCTCCATATCATTTCAATTGCATTCAAGTCGCAATGATAAGGCGGCAATCTAAGAATAGCATGGCCATGACTTTTCATCAGGTTATCAATTTCGTATTCCGGAGCAGGTTTATTTCTCTTTATTAATTCATAAAGCTGAGGTTTTGTCATTTGTTCATTGAAACTTACATTGTTTTTTTCAAGCCACTTCTGCATATCAGCCTTACTGTGGTTTGAATTAGGACACCTATTTACGCAAATACTATGGTATGGCGCATTATCCATTACAATGAGCGAAGGTTCATGCAGATTAGGTAGTAATTTTTCATATACCCATTTTTTGAAATTAATGCTATTCATTTCATCATGGTAGTCCCCATATTTTGTATTTGATTTAAATACGAGAAGGGCATTCTCCACAAAACCTTTTTCTCCACCTGCATGGATTACGATCCACCTATTACCTTTCGAAATAGGTTCCAAATCACCATCTTCTTCAGGACCTTGCCAACATTTCCCAGTTGAGTGAGACGAGTGAATGTAAGTTTCGTCTAAATAAATAACAGGTCTTTTTTCACCACGCTCATTTTCTTTAATTTTTTGTAGGTAGGTTGCTCTCCATGCAACTACGTCGTTACGTTCGCACAACACTTTTCTATTTGATTTCGTTTTCTTATAACGAAATCCTATTTTGTGAAGCAATTTTCGAAGAGTTTCACGTTCTCCTTTGAAATCAATATCTTCCTTTAAAATACTCAGTAATTTGGGTATGGTAGGGATTTCTTTTTTCACTGAATAAAATTCGTGAATTTTTCTTCTTATAACACCAATGTCAAAATTATCAACTTCTTGCTCCCGGTTTTTCTTTGCCTTTTTTTGCCAGGGGTAGAAATTTTAGAATTGGATTCTTTCTCTTCATTTACGAGTTTGTGTACAAATCGCTCAGAAACACCTGTAACGAAACGACAAATAATTATTGTATAGGTAAAATTAAATAAATGTAAGCCCGTGTATATGCCGTCACTAAAGCTACTTCACAGACCACAAACTACAAAGCTAGGTACTTTAGACGAATTACAGTAAATTGAGATAATTTTTTTACTATGTTTTACAAGTACATTATTTGGTGATTTTAATTTTCCATATCTGGCAATACTAACCAGTCGCGGCGGCAACGCGCTCATACAGCTTTTCAAATGATATAGTTGGGGCTTGTACACGTTTCTCTTCTTTCATAAAAGATAAAACTTTTAGGATAATCTGTCGCGCATCACTTTTAAGAGCTTTAGGCATTTTAATTGCACTTTTTAAAAACATTCACCTGATAGCTCAGAATAAATAATAACTGACAGCGAAATGTCATTTACAAAATGGCGGCATTAGTTCCAATTTTGTCCACCTGAACAGATAAGTTGGTGGCACTGTACCAATGTATCACCAACACTTTTTTTTATTACTGGCTTTACGGCTCTGGGTTCTAGGCTTCTGAGCCTGAAGTTACAATGTTTTGTTATCCTTTAGTAATACACTGCTTGGCAATATGTTGATGCGTCACATTGTATCACCAATACTTTATATTACTAAATCATTGACCCACAAAGTATAATAGACAGAACTTTATGTACAACCATTTTGTTGGTTGCAAATGGTTTCTTAAATCGGATTTGCCAGGCAGTTGATATTTAAATGCAATCTGATTGATTTACTTAGAGGTAAATAATTAACCACGATAGTTAAGCCAATTCACGTTACAACGGTGACGTCAATTTTTTAAAACGATAACAAGTGACATATACTCGTATTTAAGAAATGCTTAAAGATGCTCTCCCTTTTTCACTAAATGACAATAGAAAGAGACAGATATAGTACATAATTTTGTCCGACCAGTGACTTTTAATCAGACTATATAACACATTATAAATGACATAAACATACACATAAACACAGAGCCACTAACTCATCTTAAAATACCCGTGCTCGATAACTTTATTTAATGCTGGGCATAGAGTACGGTGTTAGAAAGAGGAAGAATCATAAAACCCGATAAACCAACAATTTCTTTTTGCACATGTTTGCAATGTAAAGTCTGGTTATTAGGACATGCGATTGTGAGAAATATGATTAATCATCATCATCATTACAACTCTTCACAAGCCCACAGCTGAATATAGGCATCACCCAAGACGTGTCACATAATACGGGCCTAAGCTCTCTGCTTCTATCGACATTCTGCATCTGTCTTTGCAAGTCACCACACTATCTAGAAAGGAGAGGGGGCAGGGGCTTCACTTCTCTCACCGTTGCGAGGTGGCCACTCGAGAACCTTTCTTCTTATAAATATACATTAAAGTAACGAAATATTTTCGTAAATCCTTCAACAGTTTTCTCGAAAACCACCTAAAAATTTGTACTCGCGGTTGTGGTAGAATAACCCTTGATCTATTAAGGTCAATATGCACTTTATATTAATAGTCAGACATTAACTTATGTTTCACATCCGGGCGAAACTTCAACGAGTGTCCCATGAATCCCAGGGACTTCGCGTACGTGGCGCGGGATCGCGCGACACGGCGCCACATGTGCCACGTGTTCCGCTGCGAGGCGCCTGCGCGCGCCATCGCGAACGCGCTGCGCGATATCTGCAAGCGCATCATGATCGAGCGCTCGCTGCAGCCTCCACCGAGACCCACCGACCTGCCTGCAGCAAGACGCCCCAGACCGCTCTCTGGTAAGTAGATACATACATAGATAGAAAGACGCTAATATTATTTAATATATTTCATAGTTATACACATTATACAATATTAAAAAACTATAATAAAAATAACTAAAACTAAAAACTTAAATTATCATACAATCTTATTCCCTGTGGTATCGTGCCAAGAATGCTGGCTGCGTTTCCTCGCTGAACGGCTATACTTAACCTTTGAGCGAGAAAAGAACCAGCCCTCTTATCACCAGCAGCAATGATTAGTCGCGAATAGAGTTCCTTTAGGAACTTCACCGCACGTGGACCCCACGAATCGATATTCCCTACAGCAAATGGCAGAAATATGTAGTCATTTTATAGTCAATATTCAATTCTTTTACACCGCCGTCTCATGGCACGCCAATTAGGTATTACGTTGCGGAAATTAATTGCATTAAAAATAACCAATTAGTTAAAATCCACGAACTAAATTAGGTATGTATTACTTCTCCACTAACCACACACGAAAACACTTCTTTACCTTTAATCAATTGCTGTATTATTGTAACCACTAAACAAAACACTAATCGAATGTATGGACAGGTTCTTATCGTATTATATTGGTTAGGAATTAGGATATTAATGTTGGTGGATCTTTCAAGTGCGTTCATTTCTATATTATATAAGTCTCAAGATTATCGATTCTCCGATTTGTCGTCACAAGTCAACATTTGGTCCTTCAAGCCGAATACAGTCGATTATAGGCGCGTGTATTTGTATTGTCTAGTGACGATTTTATCGATTTTCCAATGTATTGCCACATGATTGCATTTGATCCCTCGAGCCGGATAGACCGGACGAGTGTTAAATTCGCGTTTGATTCAATGTTATTTTAATGTCGATATTAATATAATATAAATTAATGTCGATATCGACTGTCCGAAATATCGTCGTGAGCTAAAACGCGGTCGTTCGAGCCGGATACAGTCGATCGATTTTATCGATTGTCCGATGTGTAGTAGCTAGAGTCGGTCCGCGGAGGCGGCTACAGGTGGCGTGTGTCGCAGGCGCGTCGTTCCCCACGCCGATGGAGGAGCCGCGCAAGACGGTGCGCGCGCGCTACCTGGGCAGCGCGGAGGTGGCGCGCGCCACCGGCATGGACGTGCTCAACGACGCGCTCGAGCGCCTCGCCGCCGCGCGCGCGCCCAGCGCCTGGCGGCCCGTCGCCGTCGCCGTCGCGCCCTCCATGATCACCATCACCGAAGAGGGGGTGAGTCGCCGCAACCTCACATATACTCATCATATTCTTAATAATTAATAGAATCAGGCGTTACTTTTGCGGAAATCCATGATATTAAGGGCTCCGCTAACAGCGGTCAGCCACCGCAGAGTCTACATCACCTGAAGGTGCCTCGTGTAGAGGCGAAACACGTGTCGTATTGTCGTCAGTGGTGTGTCTTTCCTAGTGTAGTGATGTTGGGAGTAGTGGTGCTGAGATTAGTGGTGACGGGGATAGTGCACGTAACTGAGGGAGGACGGAAGGTGCTCTTTCAACTAGGTAAGACACATCATTTTATTTTATCGAGCGGGATGTACGCGAGGTAATTTTTGCCAACTTTAATATCATGATATTTTATTTGTATTTTTATAACATAAAGACAATAAATGAGCACACAGTCCACATCATGGTACTGTGACCGATAGCTACATCCATCCGTATTTGCATATTGTTTAATAATCAAATATTAAACAATATGCAAATACGTTATCACCCTTGAATCGACCGGAGAAGGACTATGCTCTCACAGAATACCAATGTAAAATAACAGCTGTATGCAACTGCGTTTCGTACCTATGCTAAATGTAGAGTCCACTGTTCTACCTATATGAAGACAGAGACCGTTTTTACTGGAAACGAGACATCTTAGTCCTCAACAACAACGCATAGTAATTTTGATTCTCAATTGAGGATAGATGTAGATGTATATGGGTCACAGCATCCACTTACCTCGGACAGTAGTCAGTCTCATTCTAAAAAAAAACGTGGTAAATTAGCAATTAAAAATGTCAGTGGTGACAACAATGAATCGAGAATATGTGAAGTCTGACTAATAAATAACCGTCTCGGAAATGAGGGAAGAACTTCTTCCCCGGTCAAACTGACACCATTCGTGCTACAACCATAATATAGCTACGACGTAGCTGTACCACGCATGTTTATTTATTATGTTCATTATCTAACAGCTAACCGCGATGCAAGAAAAAACTATAGTAGAGGGCTACGTTTGGTTATGTATGGAACAGTAATTCAGTTGTTGTTGTACTACGAATGGGTCAGCTCGACCTGGAAGGACCACGCTCTCACAGCATACCAGAGTTAAATAGCAGCTTAATACTACTACGTGTTTGGTACGGTGAGTGTAGAAAACCGGAGACACTTTTTACTGGAATCGAGGCATTCCACCTTATTTCTTAGGGTGACAACGCAACTGCGTTTTGATTTTTAATCGATGATAGATGTAGATGGGTTACACCATCCACTTACCACTTATAAAAACGTGGCAAAGAGCAATTTAAAATGTCAACGGTGACGCAACACGTCAACACGCAATGAGGCAGCGCGACGGACTTACATATACATATTGTTACGAGCTCGGTGTTCAAGACAATTAAAAACTTTGAATGAACCGATTGAATTACCAAAATTGACACTTTAATTACTAAACACTAATTACAATCTACACAATTATAAAGCACAATCGTCAGTTTGGTTCGCAATTATTTCGCTTCGAAGTATTCTCTTGTATAGACAATTCAATACTGCCTTGGTCGTGGTCTATACCGGCCTTATATAGGGCCTCAAATAGTTTCCAGAACCTTCTACTGTAGCGACATCTAGAATGTTCGAGTACATATCGGTCCCGAAATTTCTAGAAGGATCTTGACTCTCCTAGTTCTGCTACTCGACACTAGAGGGCGCTAGTGTAAATAGTGTTGCCATGTACAAGACATAAATAGTGGCGCGCAACAATATATACCCGTCTCAGAAATGAGATGAAGCATGTGTCCTGTGGGATGCTTAAAAGCTGTAATTTTTTTATTTTATTCTATAGAATAATAGTCACAAACGGACAGATAGACACTTCACATGATGGTAAGTGAAAACTGTGACCCATAATTACATCTATCCTTGATTACTAATCAAAATGCAGGTGCGTCGTTACCCATGAGATCTAATATGGAATACCTCGTTTTCAGTATCAGATCTCCGGTTCTCTACACTTACCATACGAAACACAGCGGCATTAAACCGCCGCTCTACCATACACCAAACATTTTTTCATATGAGCAGGAGACGAGCCCGATCGTGGAGTGCCGCGTGCGCTACCTGTCATTCCTGGGCATCGGGCGCGACGTGCGGCGCTGCGCGTTCATCGTGCACACGGCGCAGGAGCAGTTCGTGGCGCACGCCTTCCACGCCGAGCCCTCCTCCGGCGCGCTCTGCAAGACCATCGAGGCCGCCTGCAAGGTACCACCACCCCTCCATCTTCCCAACGCCCACACTTAACTTCACTTACTACTGACTACCGCTGCGAGTACCATAATAATTTCTTAAATTTATTCGAACACTACACAATTACACATTGAATAAATCTACTTATACGGATTTTATCGCGTTTACTTCCCGACGTTTTGGAACGTTATGCAACGTAGAATATATGAATACAATATAAATATACGTTACATCCTAATAAAGTCCACCGCTGAACATAGGCCTTCCCCATAGATTGCCTTAGTTGCTATGTTTGGCAAGCGTTTTTATTTTTTGGTCGTTATTATGAAGACTGCTGCCCATATCCAGATTTGTTTCCTTGTGTTGCCTCGTACGAGACCCATGATATTATGGTGTAGTAGATATGAGCGCCGCGCCGGCGCGGCGTCGCCATGAGTTCATGTCGACACCTTACCGCTGCGTGAGGCACGCGGCACGCCGTCGCGACGAGTCGCAACTTCCTTTCCCGCTCACATTCCCGGTCCCGATCGCAGTAGTTCGCCTATAATATATTAGGTTAATGCTTAAATGAAGATCTCATTGAATAACGTTTTCAAAATTTTGTGAACACAATCAAATATGTTCTCAATTAGCGAGTAAATTTTTATATGTGTAAGAGTCGAATTTTGACAAAATTTATTTAAATAATTAAAAATTTTATACAACTGACTTCAATAATAATTATTAAGAATAACTCAAATACTATTGGTCAGACCTTAATCAAATTGATCAAATTTATATGGGACCACATGTGAAGCACCAGTTTTCAAATAAAAAAAAGAATCATCGAAATCGGTTCACCCAGTAAAAAGTTATGAGTAACACACTTTAAAAAAACAGTCGAATTGAGTATCGTCTCCTTTTTGAAGTCGGTAGAAAAGTATTTCTTAATGTTGATTTTTTACTTTGAAATAAATAAATATATTGCTTCATGACTACTACAATTTCTGTATTTCATTCACATGTTAAAAAATATATCAGATTTCAGTATATAATAAAAAATAACGTCTAAATAAGTTAAACTAGTTTTTTATTAGTGTTCGAGCAAAACAGGATTTCCAACCGAAACCGAAACCGAAAACGAACCTTCGGTCTGGGTGTCAGTTTCGGCCGAAACCGAAACTTATTTAGACATGTTAATTTTTTTTATTGTATACTGGAATCTGGTATATTTTTTATATATATATATATATATATATATATATATACATATAGGTAATGCATGTTAATCGAAACAGTAACTGTCATGCAGTAATATATTTATTTATTTTCAAGTAAAAATCAACAATTTAACGTTAAGAAATACTTTTTAATTCAATTTTGTAAAAAAAAAACTACTCGCTAATTGAGAACATATTTTATTGTGTTCACAATATTGTTAATATTATTCAATGAGAGCATTAACTTAATATATCACACTCACACACAATATACGCACAACTTAACAAAATCCCAGAAAATATACAAAACCTGCTCAAAGTTCAAAGACTTAATAAAATATATTTGTATAAAAATGGTTATTATAATATTAAGGAATTTATGGATGATAATAACCGCTGTGAATAAGGTGATCACTACCAAGCTATTTCTAATTTATTGTGTGTTGTTAATTGTGTTACATACATGATTGTAAGAGTGGCATAGCTAGGTGTGGGCGAAGTGGGCCCACGCCCACGGCTTCGCGCTTAAAGGGGCCTCGCGAGGCTCCCTATGCGATGCCCCCAGACTATACCACAGATGACTAATTAATTTGATCACTTTTACGCTCGAAAAAGAACGACATAAAAAATAAAAATCGCAACGTGCGAGGTCGGAGCTATAGGGCGGGTGACCCAGTAATTCCACGTCTGACGTCGCCAAGTAGTCGATTGTTTGCTTGTCGGTGTGCGATGAGGCGTTGTCTTGGTGAAGGGGGATCCTACTGCGAGGTCGTTTGTCCCGAACTTTTTCCAAGACAAATGGCAAACAATTGTTAGTTTACCACCCTGCAGTAACTTTTTTTCGATTCTGTAAAACGCAAGTTGGCAACTCCTCGGAAGGAAACACCCAGAGAGCAGGCTGTCTCTTAGTTTCAGGATCATAACAATAAATCCAGCTTTCGTCACCCGTAAGTACGTCAAACACAGTATTTGAGTCACCTCCTTTAAATCTTTGAACCATTTCACGACACCAATCAACACGACGAAGTTTTTGGGTCTCTGTCAAATTATGAGGTATCCACCGGGCACGAAGCTTCCTGACCGCTAAATGGTCATAGAGGATTTTGTGCACTTGGCGCATACCGATGCCTAATCTTGTCCGAATCTGCTGATAAGTCATTCTTAGTTAGTCTTAGTTAGTCTCTATCACACGCCGCACAACACTGATGTTATGTTCAGTCGTCGCCGTAGAAGGCCGTCCCTCACGCAGATCATCGGAGCGATTAGTGTGACTACGTTTAAACTCATTAAACCAGTTATAAATAGTGGCACGAGATGGGGCTTCATCGTGAAAGGCCAATCGAAGTCTATCATATCTTTCTTGTTGACTTAAATGACATCGAAATTATTTATAAAAATCATTGTACGAAAATTTTCTCGCGTTTAATTCATGCTGACGTGACACAGACAATTTTCAATTTGCCGCCTTTTTTTTTATAGGAGAGGAGGCAAACGAGCATGCGGCTCACCTGATGGTAAGTGACTACCGCCGCCCACGAACAACTGCAACACCAGGGGAATCGCAGATGCGTTGCCGGCCTTTAAATAATCGTAAACAATTAATAATCTAATCGTAAACAAATGACAAATTACGAGTAATAAAATACACACAATAATATTGGCAAAGAGTACTATTTTCAAAATTTGAACCTATTTTTTTATTATATCGTTTACAAGTGGCCAGTTCTAAAAACTTTCAGTGTCGCCCTCGTATGTCGTGTCGTAGCATGTTTGGTAGGATAGATCTATTGGGTAGATCCTTGGAACGAAAGAAAAGGGGCCTCGCTAATCCAACTTCATCCACGTCTATATTAATCCACGCTACGACTCTGATTGTAGGCTGTTATTAAAAAAAGTCCCGCTGGGTTTATTGCTGGTTCTTCCAAGGACAGAGTTTTTTTTTCGAACCAGTAGTAATTAAAAAAAGGAGTGACTTTCAATAAGCATTATTTACAATCTACATAATATATTGAATAAAACAATTTCTGTTTCTGTATAATTATGAATAATACACGAGTCGCGAACTCATCCGGACGACGCACGATAATCTACGAACACTTATGTTTCGGCGCCGCTGAAGGTTCGGCAGATTTTTTGCCGAAACTGAAACTATTACCGAAACTCGATTTTTTTGCCGAAACTTGCCGAAACCGAAACCGAATCTTCGATCGGTCACTATAAAAAACATTCGGGTGATTAATTGGTTAGTTTGTGAGTAATTTCGGTTGCAGCTGCGCTACCAGAAATGCTTGGATGCGCACGGCGGGATGGCGAGCAGCGGGGCGGTCAGCGGCGCGGGCGGCGGGGCAAACGGCGGGGCGGCGGGCGGCGAGGCGCGCGCATCGCTCGGCCAGGCGCTCAAGTCGCTCGTCGGCTCGATCACCGGCCGCCGCGCCTCCTGAGCGCCACACTGTACGTACATACGTGTACACAGCACACGCGTGCGCTGCGGGATCGCTCACCGACCGCCGCGCTTCCTGAACGCCACACTGTACGTACATACGTCCACACAGCACACGCGTGCGCTGCGGGTTCGCTCACCGGCCGCCGCGCTTCCTGAACGCCACACTGTACTTACATACGTGTACACAGCACACGCGTGCGCTGCGGGCTCACTCACCGGCCGCCGCGCTTCCTGAACGCCACACTGTACGTACATACGTCCACACAGCACACGCGTGCACTGTGGGCTCGCTCACCAGCTGCCGCGCTTCCTGAACGCCACACTGTACGTACATACGTCCACACAGCACACGCGTGCGCTGCGGGCTCGCTCACCGGCCGCCGCGCTTCCTGAACGCCACACTGTACGTACATATGTGCACACAGCACACGCGTGCGCTGCGGGTTCGCTCACCGGCCGCCGCGCTTCCTGAACGCCACACTGTATGTACATACGTGCACACAGCACACGCGTGCGCTGCGGGCTCACTCACCGGCCGCCGCGCTTCCTGAACGCCACACTGTACGTACATATGTGCACACAGCACACGCGTGCGCTGCGGGCTCGCTCACCGGCCGCCGCGCTTCCTGAACGCCACACTGTACGTACATATGTGCACACAGCACACGCGTGCGCTGCGGGCTCGCTCACCGGCCGCCGCGCTTCCTGAACGCCACACTGTATGTACATACGTGCACACAGCACACGCGTGCGCTGTGGGCTCGCTCACCGGCTGCCACGCCCCCTGAGCGCAACACTATACGTTCATACATACACACAGTACGCACGCGTGCGCCGCCAAGGTTAACTAGGAACCTCGCTGTAATGCGGCCCCTTCTCGATTCGCAGTACTATACAAATGACGTCACAGCGCTAGGTGCCTAGTTTACTCGAACGGGTTGTACGCGACTGTGTACTGTACGCGTACGGATCATACAGTGGTAGGTGTGCGAAAGCGGAAGACATCTTACCTTGACAATTTACAACTTTTTATACTCACACCCTTCAAATTCTTTAAGATCTGTGTGCACTGCTGCTTGGCGACAGAAATACTCACACCCTTCAAATTCGTTAAGATCTGTGTGCACTGCTGCTTGGCAACAAAAATAGGTAAGAGAGCAATAACTACCCAAACTGACTCTTATCTTAACATATTGTTGCGCGCCACGATTAATACATGGTACATATTAGTTACTAGCGCCCTCTCTTATCGAGTAGCAGAACTAGGAGAGTCAAGAACATTCTAGAAATTTCAATGGAAGAACTTTCTAGAACTATCGACACCTAGCCAATCGGGACCGATATGTACTCGAGCATTCTAGAAGTTTCTATAGTAGAAGGTTTTTCATGTAGTAAATAAATTTATATTAATTTTCATGTAGTAGGTAAATTCCATGATGCCCTATATAAGACCGGTATAGACAGCGAACGAGGCAGTATTGAATTGGCGATACAAGCGAATATTTTTAATTGTCTCGAACACCAAGCTCGTAACAATATAACTAACTTAATCTACACAAGGGAGTAGGTACGAATAAATATTTTGTTAGCGTTGAGATAATTTCAATTTATCCGTTTGTAACTAAATTAAGGTAACATATACAACAGGTAACGAAATGTATAATTTGAGGAAATAAAATGTACGAAGAACATTTTTTTTATTATCTCCATCATCCCGCAAAAGTTCACTGCTGGACTTGGGCTTTCACGTTCCAATGTGTTTGCCTTAATCGTCACTCCTAGTAGGCGGATAGGCGATTGCAGTACCAGACATCTCGCACCATTGACGCTGTTGTCCGTCGTTCGTCTTGATATTTTACACATGGAGTTAATGACCTGGTTCTACCGTCACCTATCGGAAGCCATTAGATTTTTCTGGCATATCACATAGCATTTGCATCAGATTACGCCCTATGGACAAAATGGAGTTATTGGATCTCTTACGTCGCCATTACACGGCCTGATGATTCCTGTTTTTTTTTTAATAACATAAATCTTGAATATTTAGTGCATTTTGAAAATCACTTCCATACGTATAAATACATTTAAATTGAATATTTTGTTTCAGGATAATTGCTGCCCGAATTCACCGGGCGTTTAGCGTTCTGCACGCCGCCGCACGCTAAGTCTACAGCCGCCCTACGACGTATCGCTTTATAAATTATTTTCAACATGGCGATATCTTGTCTTGGTTCACGTTAACCTTGACAATGTCCTTAAACACGTTTAGAGTCCTACTAAAAAGATGGGATTACCAAGTTATAATTATTTTTGTTTACTTTGTTTTAATATTTATGTCCAAAAACTGAAGTGTACGTTGTTTAACATTTATCTAAATTTTGTTGCCGATATTCATGCACAAAAAAGCGCGGTCGCTTTTTTTGTAAGATATGTAGGTATATAAATTCTAACCTTAATTTCGCTGGATAAAATAAATATTTCCATTCTTTCAATAGAACAGTGACTTTCAGCTAGTGTTAGCCCTTACTCTATTTGTTTGAGGCATAGAGTAGAAGAAACATTATTAATAGATAAAGATTTCATTTTATAGCCCGTTTTCAGAATAGTTCTCAACATTCGTTTTAATTATTTAAATGGAAAAATTCTAGTTTGGTCATGTTTTCACGGAGTATTATAAATAAGATTTTTTTTTATGTTACGCCTATGAACAAATTGTTTAAAAAATAATTTATTCATTAAACTTTTTGTCAGTGTAGCCACTGCAAAAATATATTTATTTTCATTCTTCAATCCACGTTTTTAAAATCATTCCAGAAGCTTTTGTAAATGCTATTGCACACAATATATTGCCTAGTCCAGATTTTTTTTTATTTTATAAAATTGAGTTTCTGTACCTTCAACGTAATGAATATTTTGAGATAAACAGCATTACGTTTTTCTCACGTATCAGTCGCTATTTATAATTGAATTTCTATCACACTTTACCATATATATCAACATTAAATTTGTACGTTTATAATTAAGTTTGTGTTCTCGTAATGATAGTTACCTTTTAATTACTAGTCGATAGAGATACGTTTGTTTATGTAAAGAAGCTCATTGTGACTAATATCATGGCTAAAAGATGAAGGAAGCTCGTGCCTAATGATGTAATTTTACCGCCATGAATGCCATATCATTTTAGTGAAAATGACTGAAATTCTAATGGATTATAAAAACGACGATTTGCCAAAATATGGAGATGACTTTTAATTTTACCTTTTAACACACGTCAAGAAAACTTCTTTGTACTCTTTGTGGGTATATATAAAATTGTGCATGGTGGTGTTAAAAGTTCTTTTTTCTGTAAATTAACAGTAAACACAACCACGCTAACTTAGATACGGTAACCTAGTTAAGTTTGGTGTCTCGTGTATTTTGACGATTAAGATACTTTTCGGTGGGACTGTAAATAAAATTTGTAAACTTATCAGATATATTATGATTAATTTTAGTGTAGTTTAAATGGGTGGAAAGAGTTGCCAGCAGCTACATGTAACTAAACACTGTTAGTCATTTCTGACAATGGTTTAGTTATAATCTAGCGTAATGAGTAATTTTCGGTTTCGAGCACGGTATGAAGGATTTACGGTACTGGGGCAACTACTGTGTTCGACGTCTGTTGTTAAAATCTATTGACGACTTTGTGGATTGGTAGTGTCGAGACGGAATATGATTTTTAAAATCTGATTGGTGTAACACATTGGATGTAGTATAGTTTATACAAATAGTACCCTACGATTATAGTATATAAAGAAATTATTTTTGCTTAAGCTTGTATAAAAAAAATACGTATTGATTGCGAAAGATAAATATTTTTTCTAAGTATGTCACCGCGTGGAGTATTACTATATTCGGATATTATAATATCTAGCTTACCAAGCGCTTTCAGGCGTGTAATGCCTATTTTCGTTTGATATTGATATTTACTTAATATATCGGTCCTTTGTAAGTTATGATTACTTAGGACCTTTTATTTTGCCTGTTTGGCCAAATGGAATCGTTATATTATATACAGCGAGCCTCATCATAACAAGGTGTCTAGAAACTTTGAGCTTTTAATAATGATATATTTTGTACCTAATAACCTGTTAAATCAGCATAAATAATAGTTCTAATGCATTATACCATTTTTAAAATATATCTAAACGATTATCTATGCAGTAGCTTTTTATGGATAAAAATATGACAGTGTTTATTGTAAGAGTCGGGACCCGTTTTTTTTAATACGTAATGAGTTCGATAGTTGAAGATATAATTGCAAATTAAAGTGTTTATGTGTCTGTAACACTTCTAGGATAATTGATTTTATTTCTTGAGGGACAGAATGAGCTTAAATAATCTATTTTAAATGCAATCCAACATTTTCGTTATTGTTTGTACCGCGAATTTAAAAACTGTATTGTGTAGAATACTGTTCACTTAATGTTTATTACAAACAGTTAAGCTCAATCTGTCTCCTAAATTAGATTAAGGCGTTGAATTTAGATATCACAAAATAGCTTCAAAGTATACATATTTCAAATACCTATTAGAAGGAAAATCAGTGTCGCTTCTCACTATATAAATGATATTGATATAAACGATACACGAAGCTGTTGTCTATACGTAAATATAGTTTTATTCACACGTTAATCTTAAGTAAATTAATGTCATTGTACGGTGTTGCAGACACGAGCGGTTGGGACGCAATGGAAGTAACGTTTTCCAACCGCTCATGTTTAGCAACCCTTAGATGCAATAGATGGAAATTGCAAGCTTTGACTGCCTTTTATTGGATGAAATACGTCGATATTTTCTATAAAATGTAAACGTTTATAATGTAGTCGTTAGATAGCTTCTGAATTCCGATTTTCTCAATGTTGGATGACCTAACGATGAGAATCTTATTTCAACCGTGGTCGCTTCGACAGCTTAAAAGCCTTCAAATTGTGGCTTTTAATGACAAATTTTGTGAAATTAATAAAAAAATACATATAAAATATAAACACGTCCTCGGTGTTTTATTTAAAAACCAATATTTCCCGGACTCAGCGTTTATTTTTGAAGTGAAACTTCTGTTTCGACGTAGTGGAGTTTAATATGGTAGGTATTAAAAAAACATCTGACGTTTTCTTGTAACGTTTTATTTTTTATTTTTTCGTACTTTCTCATCAGAGAATAGTGTGGCATGCGAATATAGCTGCAATGTGAATGGGTTAGTTCGACCAAGGAGGGGTACGAAAGTGATATAGCAATTTGAAATGTGATGTACAATGATGCATTACCTGTAAATAATCGGATACCCCATCCGGTTTTCGTCTAATATGGTAGTGGTCATAAAGTAGTTGGATACATAGACTTAGAATATCGTGGTGTATAGACGACCTGACAGACCGGAAACGCGTGACTAATTTTGATTTGTCATTGTGTCCGTTAGCGTATATATTTTACTTAGGACCATAGATAAATATATATGTAGCAAGCTACTTGGGACTATCGAAAAATTATTGTTAAGGAAGCGGTAAAAATATTTAAAAAATTGTTCAGTGCACGAAATTGAATAATTTCAAAAATTAACCAAATTTTTTATTATTTTAGAAATATCATGATATAAATCATGATATTTCTAAAATAATAAAAAAATATTCATATAACATGTTCCTGGGAATAAGCTGAACCTACCTGCCTTTTGTTGGATTTTAATTCAAATGTAAAAAATCACAGGTGACTCTACCCATAAACTTCCCAAGAATCAGATCGAAAAGTTGTATTTTCGAGTTATGATCTTTGGAGAAAAATATTTACTGCAATGGACAGTTTCCCCGGAATTTCTTTTTTAACATATTGTTAATATAAATAACTTAACTAAGTATATATCTATTTATATTTTATATATTTTATAAAATGTTTTGATGGGGAAATAAAAACGGGGACACGGAGTATATAATGGCTGCTCTATTTTTAATATAGTATTACTTTTGATAATTACAAACATTTAATAATTAATAATTAAATACATTATAGAAGTTTATTTTAACATTCAACTTAAATATGAATGTAAACTTAATAATTTAAGTAAGGAAACTTGTAGGAATCAGCTAAATAAAATTGCTCTGTTTAAAGGCCAATATGTTTATGAGGCTTCATCATGCTTCATATTTATATTCTTTCATCTGACCCTGAAAAGTATAAAGTACCTAATAATAAACTTATTATCATTTTAGCTGCAGAATTTTAAAAACACAATGATCTTAACACAGTAAAGTGCACCAAGTGTCTGAGGATACAGATGCACTCTCTATTCTCTCAATCTCGGTATGTTAAGAAAATGGTCACTCATTCATGGACTGACCGCGGCAAGTGCAACTTAATCTCGCAGAGCTATTGATTTTTTTAACGTCCAGAAGCAATGGAAAGAGCTACCCTCCGGGAAGCGAGGAAGGAAGGTGATTATTGCTCTAAGCATATAGACAGCCGGCTGCCGTGTTCATGTGGTACTCACTGTGAAACCTAAGTGTCTACCCACTAAACACCACCCGTGAGACTAGCATTGGCTTGTGTGGCCTTTCTGCCGAATCGGAAGCGACCCTCTTTAGAGAAAAGGGGGCGCAGGCGGCGACGAGCCGCTGGGAGGGGAGCCCAACTAATGCAAATTAAGGGCGGGGAGAAGATTCGGCCTGAGCCGCCAGGAGGCGATTTAGGTCAGCCGAAAGCTTGTTTAGGGGGTCCGAGAGAGAGTTTCTCGGTCTCCGGACTCGATAGGGAGAGGGAGGTGGGGCTGCATAGGAAGCTGCCTTACAAATAAGATGATTGGGGTGAGACTCTGAGGCTTTGAAAAGGTTGTCAGAGAGTGCTTTTAGGAACTGTTGGACGGTGGGGAGCTCTAAGTCTCGGTGGAGTTCGGCGTTACGGACGTACCAGGGTGCATTCGTAGCCACACGACAAAAGTGGTTTTGAACTATTTGGAGTTCGTTTAGGATTTTAGGATTAGTATGCGCAAAGATGGGGGCTGCATATGTCATGACTGGTCGTATACAGACCTTATAAAGGGTTCACTTGTTACGGAGGGACATTTTACTGTGTTGGCCCAGCATACTGTTGAGACTACTCAGATAGAATCGCGCGTTTCGAGTTACTCGCTTGACATGGGGCCCGAAGGCGAACCTCGTGTCAAGGGTGACACCTAAGTATTTTGCGGTCGTATGCCAGGGGACAGGGGACCCTAGCATTCGGATTGGCGGAATGGTAGTGGGACGGCGTCGTTTATGATCGAAGTGAACGGCGAAGCTCTTCTTCGGCGGAGATCTATTGATCCGCGCAGCTATTACTTAATCACGAGTTCCTCTTCTCTAAGACTAACGCTGTAGGCGATGAACCACGCTATTTACGCGTAACAGTATGATCAGTTCCAGAAGAGGAAAGTGACGTTAGAATGGGACATAGAACAGATAAATATACTTGTAGGGAGTCAATAGTGTCCGCGGGAAAGAGCCACGTGCAAGTACAGAGATTCGGCCCGTATGACCTGAGGGTAGGTGGGGCCATGGGAAATCTCTGGGCCGAGGCACATCAATGCCAGCTCCTTTCAGTTGATCGCATCCAGCGCAGAGCGGCTCGAATCGACAGCGACAGTTCTTTTTGATCGGATTGGCTCACTAGCGCTGCGAAGAGATGTTGCATCTCTGCATATTCTATCGCATCTACCACGGGGAGTGCTCAGAGTAATTGTTCAGACTAATTCCAGCCGCTCGATTTCACCATTGCACATCGCGACAAAACTCGCGATTACATCTATACCATCTGGATGGTTGACGATCCACCACTGTGCGATGTACTAGAAATTTTCTTTTTCGCACAACTTCTTTGGCTCAATTTACATTGCGGCATCAATTTTGCCTCGTCGCTCGGGAGTCGCGCGAATTCGCGGGAATGCTCGAGCATTCCTGTGACTGCGCTTTGAAGCTAATTATCCGTTCAGTTATTTAGTCTATCTTTTTTTTTAAAGAATGGTTGATTGGATATTATTTTCATATTGCTTATTTGTGAGACAGAAGAAGAAAATGATGAGAAAAGGAGGAATTTCAGAAAAAGGAAAAGAAATATTTGGGTTCATGATTTATGGAAGAAGTGAAACGTCACCTTTCGCGCCACTTCCCGCGAATTCCACCGACTGCGCCGACAGTATACGGGAACTCTCGAGAAAGCGCGAGAATTCCCCGGTAGACGCGCGACTTCTTTTTTGGCTCATATCTAGTTTGCACGTTACACAACATAAAATTTATTTTACTATATACAATTTCGTTACAAAAATTCGCTTCCGGTCCATTCCGCGGCAATGTAAATTGAGCCTTTCTTGGAATCGACTACCACCAGCTATTTTTCCGAACCGATACGACTTAGGGACAATTCTCCTGGTGTAGCAGACGAGTGACGGTGATCACTTGCCATAAAATGTGAGCCCTTTGACTTCTATTCCATAAAAAGGCGCAAGGGAACACCAGGTGACGATGAAGATAAAGATGAAAAGAAAACGAATACATCTATTCATTATAAATATTTATTTCATTGTTACATAGGGTATAATTTGGAATTTCGGATTAAAAACAATATTTTCAAGACATCTTCGTAATTACAAACCGAATACAAATAATTACTCGCATGATGTAAATAACTATCACGTTTCCACAGATTATTTATGTATTAAAAATAAATCACTGCTCCACGATTTAGGACCATAAAGCTTGGTAGCCACTGACACGGGCCCGTGTTTATTTATTTATATTTTAAATTGATCGACACTAATTTTAATAAAATGTCTACATAGCGACATATCAATGGTACTCTTTATTTAAATTTTTCTCAATATCATTTATTCAAAACATAGAATATTTTTGACGCTAGAAATGCAAGAAATATTTTTCGCGTCAAATTTTTAAGTGAAAGCCTTATTTAATCGCAAAGTTATCACATTCAAATGTCTAATACATACATACATGTATATGATGTAATATGTACATAATTTATAATGTAATGAGCGCAAAATAAAGATCATTTAAATCAACATAATTGATCTCATTAATATCCTTTCTCATTCTAGCATATTAAAGCACATGGCCATAAAGACTATTTTGAAGAATGCGCCAAAATTGCAAACAAAAACACAAGTAAATTACAATTAAAAGCCTGATTTCAAACACAAAAGGTATAAAAACAGGCGAATTAAACTTTCTGTTTTACTGTAGCCTATGATAACATACACAACCTATATGCATATTTATAACCTACAACTCTTACAAATATAGGCGTAATATATATAAATCTATGTGGAGCAGCAAGCATCTATTATATATAGTGTTTGAAGGAATCGTGTAAAACTATATTATATACTAATTTTTACAAAATACGTGTGTTCTATACAGGCTTAGTATACATGTGTAAAATTAATGCATCATTGTGTACAGACATACTTTCTTAAACTTTTATTTTGCACCGGACATTTGGCACTTTAAACTGTGTTATTCAAAATATGTATGCTTATGAGAGTGAAAAAAAAGGTTAAGCGATTGCAGAAAATATTAAATTTTTCAGTGTTGCCACTAAACGTCCGGTGATGCTATGAATTTACTGAAATCTATAATATCCAATAAATCATTTCTATAGCTTTGCATCTTCTAATATTTTACATCACATAATTTCATATTGCATAGCCAACTGTTTTCACCGCTCTTGGCGTAAATAAAATTTAGATGGAGAAAAGAAACACATTTCAGATTGGAGGAGTTAATTATAAAACAAAAGCAACCGATCTAAATATATTTCTTTTTTATAAACGCTTTGCGCGATGAATAAAAATATTTCGATCCAAGTAAAATCTCTTCTTATTACATCTTAATTGTGAATATTCAGTTTCAACCTGAAACAATAAAAATGTTAATAATTGCATTTAAAAAGTGGCCCTCCTCTTCAACAGCCCGCATGCAGTTCACAACTGGTCATGGGCCCTATAATAAAAATAAAGCATTGCAACTTAATAAAATATATATCAAATGAATGCAGTGTTTTATGGATATACTCAGTCTAACGAAGAGAGAAAGGTGCTGCGTACGTTCCATGTTACGCAAAACCAATCTCAAGTCACTGCAAAAACACGCATTCACGTACATATGCCTCTAACATCATTGGCAACCAACAATATGGATTTGGGTTAATATGTGAGTGTGTACACGATTTTTACAGGGGTGAAAGAAAGAAAGAAAGGTATGGGAGTTTTGGCGGGAACTTGACCGTCGATGGATTGTTGCTACTGTTTTATCGTTAAAATTATCGTTTGAAGTGATTTTATGTATTAAATGTCTGGGCATGTGAACTATTAGTGAAAACGACGAAACAAGTGCTTCGATGTTGATATAAACCCCAAGTTATTTTGTTTGCTTAGGTGCCTTATTAAATTAAGTAACTGTCGTTATCGACTGTCCGTTGGGGTGAGCTGTAACTTAGCAATGTGACGCATCAGCATATTGAGAAGAAGATAACATAATAATCCAAATGAAAAAGACATGGCTTAAAGGACAAACATCCAAGCCAAAAACATTAATAAATAAATAAACATGTGAACGTGAGTGCATGTCAAGAAGTTAGCAATGTTTTTCCGTCACTTTTAATGTACACGCAGCGCTTAGTCCTTCTTTCTTTGTTAGGACTGAGCATGTTCATAAAATACTGCTTTCATTTGATACAGCCATTTTCTACTGACTCAAAAAGGAGGAGGTACTCAATTCAACTATACGGTTTTTATGTGTGTTACTTCATAGCTTTTTTCTGGATGAACCGATTTCCATGATCCTTTTTTTATTTGAAAGCTGGTGATTCTCATGTGGTCCCATAAAAATTTAATCAAGGTATGAAGTCGGTTGTACGAAATTTTTAATTTTAAATTATGTTAAGTTGCAATGTACAAAAATGATTTTACATATATTTTCAAACTACTTTCGTTTACTTAATTTCAATTTTACAACAAAGTAAAGTTAAATGGTAGAACCAAGCTGCAGCTGTATTATGGTTTCAGCATGGATGGACCAGCTCGACAGAGGAAGGAACAAGCTCTTACAGAATACCAGCGTGATATAGCATCGTAATAACTGCTATGTTTAATGTGGTGAGTGTAGAAAACCAGAGGCGCTTTGTACTGGAAACGAGGCATTTCGTCTGTCTTCAGGGATGAAAACGCATCTGCATTTTGTATCTTGATCGAGGATAGATGTAGATGTCGATAGGCCACAGCATCCAGTTACCATCGGGTGGACTGTGTTGCTCGCTTGTCACCCTTTTTCTATATAAAAAATATTGTTTTGAATGAACAGATGTTTATTCTGTGGGCAATAATTCAATCACTCACATTCACTTATCCAATGGGGGGGCTGTGTGCTTGTCTGTGTACTTGCTTAAAAGAAGTAGCCCTTATTATTTAAAAATAAGTAGTCAAATGTAATAATCATAAGTAATCAGGTGGTTGCAGATATGAGAGGGAAACCAGTGCCCAGCAGTGGGACGTATGTTATAGGCTGTAACTTTGTTTACCTTACAGTGCGGATTGAATCTAAAGGAGACAATCGTTTTTGGGCCCACTAGAAATTGTAACGTAACTTAATTTTATTACACATAAAAAAGATACCAATTTATTATAGTAAACAATCTAAAGATTTTATGAAAATCTAACAGGAATCATGAAATCTGAAAAAAAAAAGTTGTTTTGATATTCTTGTTCTAGCTAATATAAAGAAAAAAACGCGTGTAATGAACATGGGTATAAAAGTCCTCAAAAGTTAGCTTTTACGTTGATACTAGCGCCATCTCACATTCATTAAAAGCACTATTTTACCCAATATTTTAACGCATTTTATTAAAAAGGTGGCGTCACTGCTAACATTTATTATTTATACCGAAGCCTATTTACATTAATTGTTAATTTCTCAGTATTCCAGTTAGATACAGTAAACCAATATTACTTTTGTAATCTATAGGTTATAAGGAATAAATCGACATGTGTTTCATTAAGTTATGCCACAATTTGTGGCGGGCCCATTCTCCATATAAAAAGAATTGTCTGCTCTCGCTGATCCTCGGAGCTACTACGGCCTTAAAAAGTAACTTTAAAAAATAAACCAGGTTGGCGACGATTAGGTCTGTGCCGAATTATGGGACCCTCATAGGCTTTATACGTGGTAGAGCCAAGCTGCAGCTATATTTGTAGTATGGTTGTAGCACGAATAGTAGGACTCGACCGGGGAAGGACCACGCTCTCACAGCATACCAGCGTAAAATGGCAGCTTGACACTGCTGTGTTTCGTATAGTGAGTGTAGAAAACCGGAGATCTATTTTACTGGAAACAACGCATCTTCATTTTGATTCTTTATTGAGGATAAATGTAGATGTCTATGGGTAACAGCAATCACTCTTACCATCAGGTGGACTGTGTGCTCGTTTGTCACCCTATCCTATTAAAACAAGTTAGCATTACGACCAAATAAAAATGACAATTACCTGTGATGGCGCTACATCCATCCATTTTGTTCAAAGAAGTTCGTTCTGCGCTGAAACAAACCAAGCTTCTGTAGGAGACCGTTCAACAGCGGTTGTACGTCTACTCTACCAGTTTCTACTTATGACTAGTAGAATAGGCGTATTATATAAATAAATACTATGTATTAACGTCCCAACAAAAAGATTACTGTCGCTTGTACAATTAGTATAATTATTATTGCAATAATTAATTACGTATTTTAAAGATTATATTATCTTTAAACTCCCAACAAAAAGCGTCGATACTATTTGTTGAGTTAAAAGAGTCAAGAATTAAATATCGAAAAGCAAAATGCTAAGTTTATATAAACCCATCATCAATTCCAAATAACGTTACCACCAAAGTAGGATTTTTTTCCTGTATCTTAGGGGTAGTTTACATACATAAATTTCTCTAGAAAAAATATCCAGACTCGGAACAAGTATTACTAAGCTATACAAATACTTGTTCCGTGCAGGATTCGAACCTCATGCGGCCATCAACGCTGCAAAACTATACATATTAAAAATGAAAACATTATACATACATTCTACCAAAATACTATTGAATTAGTTAAAAAATTAAAAAATATATTAACTATATTGTTTAATAATCACAATAGTAATAATTTACAGCTCTGTCTCACCAGCAACGCAATGTCACGAATTTGCATTTCGAAAGAGCCAAAATTAAGGGCTTTTTAGTTGCTAATTAGGTGTCAAGTTTAAAAATTGGGTGCTTTAAATTTTTCGCCGCAACTAACTGTTGAAATTTACGTTACCAACAAACACGTATCGGTAGCAACGCAGTGACCATAATAGGTATACGATAAATATTATTAGCAAGGAATTAAACTAATTAGCACTTAAAAAGCCCCTAATTTTGGCTTTTTCTATATACAAACTCCTGACTGCGTTGCTGGCGAGACAGGGCTATCATTTACACACACACTGTAAAGTTCGATGATACAAAATAGATACTTGTTAAATCATGATAAGCCAACACCGAATAGCGGGTAATGCAGGGTTAGAGGAGTTTGCGCAAAGCAATGACGTCCACGACATTTTTTTTCCACCAGGACGGCGCCACTTAGAAATGAGGTGAAATATTTGACAAGTTACATGGCGGGGAAGTTAATCTGTTAGAAAAATGTAAGGGTTAATGTTTTCTTTTTGTAATATTAGTTATATTTTATATTTAATAGATCATAAATGAATAATACTAACTACAGATACTCCTATAAGTAGAAAAATTTAAAAAAGAATTGTTAAAAATGTGAAAAACATTAACGAACAAACCACTGAGGCATTGTTTCGTGTATTTATCTAATAATAAAATTCCTTAGCATAAAATCCAGCTAAAAAAGGAATTCACTTAAATTCAATAAAATAGGAGGCAGTCTTTAGTCCTTAACGGTGACAACGCATCTGCATTTTGATTCTCATTTGTGTGCTCGCTTGTCAACCTTTTTCTATATAAAAAAAAAACTCTATAAACCGATAAAATTTTATTTAAAACGCAACTTTTCAATTACATGACATTGCGTAACAAAAAATTCACCTCAGTTCCCTATTAGCAAACTGGCGAACGAAAGATTATTAGCGCTCATTGATATAGGTTCAAAGTAATTATTAAAATCACATTTGGAAGTTCTTGTAATGAGTCAATATTCAAGTTATAATTGCAACGCAATACAGTGTAAACTCCATGTAACGTCACTCGATTTAACGACAAACTCCCTAAAGCGTCGAAATAGCTCAGCTTTGGTTGGTTTAGCTTGTCTTCCATACAAATGATACTCTCTATATAACATTACACCCACTCTCAATAACGACAACAATTAAAACTATAAAAATTACTTTTTACTTTGCAAAAAATAGTAAATAAACTGCACAGCTGTGTACGTTCTTTTGTCACTTTATTATCCTAGCCCATAATAAAATCGACTGTCGGCATCATACATACGAAACTCTCGAAGAAATCCGTTGTTTTGTTTACAAATTGGGATTGCTTGCACGTGTAGATTGTTAGTAGGGGTCATGAATTATCTATACGTGATAATGTTCTTAGTTGCTCACAGACTTTCAAACTGTAAACATGGAAAGTAAGAGAAAATCACTGTGTATTGACAAAAAAGTGTTACTGATACGCGCAATAGAGGTGGGAGAGTAGATAAGTGATGTTGATAGACGCTTTCGATTTAGTCGCTTTACCGTGTCCAAAATATGAAAAAATAAAGAAAAAAAATTCTACAATCAGAAACCTAAATACGAAGATTTGGATCAAGCTGTACTATCATGGTTTCACCGACAGTGCCAGAATAATATGTCTATCTCGGAGCTGATCGTAAAAGCTAAGGCGGAGAGGTTTGCTGAAGAACTTGGTTTTATTTTTTTCAATAGTCAGAAGGATGGCTCGGAATATTCAAACAACGTCATCATATTAACTATGGTAAAATTAGTGGAGAAGCACGAAGTGTTGATACAAATGTTACTCACGGCTGGGTTAATAGAGTATCGTCAAAATTGACAGAAAAATACGCCCCAAGTGACATTTTAAATGCTGATGAAGCAGAAATTTTCTATTGACCCCAGTTAAAACTCTGAAATTTAAAGGGGAAAAGTGTGTGGGAAGAAAGCTCTCCAAGGAGCGTATTACATTGCTTGTGGCTGCTAATATGGATGGCACAGAAAAAAAAAATCTGATAGTAATAGACAAATCGAATAATCCGCGGTATTTTAAGAACATTAAAAATTGCCAGTGACGTACACACCATACAGCTAATAATTCAGCTTGGATGACCAGTCAACTTTTTGAAGAAGAATTGCGAAGTGAGATGCAGAATTAAAGGGACGATAAATTTTAAGTCTTGCTCTTGTTGACAACTGCCCTGCCCACCCTCTTATATCAAACTCTCAAAACATAGAGTTGGCATTTCGTCCTCCAAATACGACTAGTTTCTTGCAGCCAATGGATCAAAGCGTGATAAATTATTGATCGAGCTAGTCTAATCTGTTGGTAAAACTTCTATTAATATGCTGCATGCAGTAAATATTTTATCTAAAGCTCGGGAAGAAGTGACATCCATAACTATACAACACTCTTTTCGACATGCTGGACATTGTACAAATTCTACGAGTGATGAGGTGGAAACGGAACCGGAGTTTGATAGCGACGACGACCTTCCATTAACTGACTGGATTCAACAATTCAACATGGCAGAAAAATTTACAGAAAATCTTCAAACCTACATCGAAGTATACTACTGCCTGCTTACAACGGCTTTATTCACAGACAGAGAAATGCCATCAAAAACATAACTTGTAAAAAAAACCAAGTCTCGCAACTCAGTTCTTCTACCGTAAAAAGTTGTGAGATCCATGTAATACCAAGTCGGTTAATTTGTTCAGTCCCCTCTTAAGGGTCCTTCTCTCTTAAGTTATTACGTAATTAGCTAACCTAAGAACATCTTATAGTGACCATATCAATATTAAAAATCTTTTGTTTTAAATAAATAGATTGACTTGGCCATCGCATGAAAACGCAATGTATCTCTCAAGTAATACATATTATATTAAATGGACGTGGTTATGCAAAAAGGATGCAACCCGAGTTTGTGTCAAAAAATGTTGACTTGAAAAATAATGTTTGTGGTCTATACTATTATGTGACGTTACAATTTTAGCAAACGTAACACAAATAAGAAGAAAAATTACAAACAGACAGAAACCATACCGATAATTTGAGTTTATGATATTTGATGTATGGATACTTCAAATATCATAAACTCAAATTAACTTATTGCGGGTTGGATCCATTTTGCATAACTACGTCCAAATTAGATTGTTTAGTGCGATTGCCAAGTCAATTAATTTATTTAAAACATAAAAGATTTTTAATATTGATATGGTCACTATAAGATGTTCTTAGATTAGCTAATTACGTAATAACTTAAGAGAGAAGGACCCTTAAGAAGGGACTGAATAAATTAACCGACTTGGTATTACATGGATCTCACATCTTTTTACGGTAGAAGAACTGAGTTGCGAGACTTGGTTTTTTTACAAGTTATGTTTTTGATGGCATCTCATTTCTTTTGTGGATGGTTATATCTAGGTACCTATCTACACCAATTATTCCATTATATTATACATATATAGGTACACTGATTCATTCACTGCAAATGTAACTTTGTAATCCTATATATGGGATTACTAAGTTATTTATGCAGCTGGTGTATCTCGAAAACTGGACTGAAATTGCAAAATATTTTAATTTTTCCTTGATTTATATACTAAACAATAATTGTATTCCAAATTTGAAGCTTCTATGTCTGCTAGAAGTGCCTTAGAGTTTTGATGATCGGTCAGTCAGTGAGTGACAAAATTAAGAAATTTTGACTAGTTCCAATTCTTAAACTACTGGTTCAAATTTGATGAAATTTGAAACATACCGAGTTCATACAATGCCTACTTGGTTACTGAAAATTCAAGCTTCTAGTTTTATCCACAACGAAGTTATAGGGTTTCGAAAATGGCCTGAACTGCTTCGAGAAAAGGATGGTACGGCCGTGCCGCTGTTTTGCTCGACTTGGCGGGGGCACTGCCGTGCTACCAGATTTTGAATTCGGTAAAAAAAAAACTACGGATCAAGAACAAGGAGATGAAGAAGATGAGCCTAAACCTCTGCCGAGCATTAAAGAAGCTCTTGAAGCAGCAAAATTATTGGAAAAGTACTTTCTTTATCACCAAGATGACTCAATATCGTACGATATGAATAAAATAAGTAAAAAATTACAACAAAATTACTGGTGCAGCAAAAGACGTCAGATGAAAATAACAGATTATTATACGCAATAGCGTTCAAATAACAATTGTTTTTATGTAATTACTAACACTGGTCTGAAATAAACCTTTTCTTTTTCTAATACAGATTTTTCTTCGTTCCATTTAACAAATCTTTATAACGTCATCGTCAACGTATATGCACAGTCCTCTGTCTCGTTTTATAGAGTTTACACTGTAATATCTT